AATAACACGGTCATCAGTTGAGAATAAAGAATCCAGGCCAAGGGCTGTGGCCAAGGCCGGTGGACTGCTTGAGACCAAGAGTTTAAGACCAGCCTTGTTAACATGGTGAAACCCCTAGCCGGGCACGGTGGCTCAAGCCTGTAATCCCAGTACTTTGGGAGGCCGAAGCGGGCGGATCACAAGGTCAAGAGATCGAGACCATCCTGGTCAACATGGTGAAACCCCGTCTCTACTAAAAATAAAAAAAAATTAGCTGGGCATGGTGGCGCATGCCTGTAATCCCAGCTACTCAGGAGGCTGACGCAGGAGAATTGCCTGAAACCAGGGGGCGGAGGTTGCGGTGAGCCGAGATCGTGCCATTGCACTCCAGCCTGGGTAACAAGAGCGAAACTCTGTCTCACAAAAAAAAAAAAAAAAAAAAAAAAAACCATGGTGAAACCCCATCTCTACTAAAAATAAAAAAATTAGCCAGGCATGGTCACATGCACCTGTGATCCCAGCTACTCCAGAGGCAGAGGCACAAGAATTGCTTGAAACCAGGAGGCAGAGGCTGCATTGAGCCTAGCTTGCTCCAGTGCACTCCAGCCTGGGCAACAGAGTAAGATCCTGTCTAGAAAAAAAAGGAATTCAGGGGCAGCACTGGAAGTTTGAGGAGAGAGTTTTTAATGATTAGAAAGCAGGAGAATGAATTTATTAGGGAAACACGATAGGATTACTACACACCAACAAGGGCCCACTTGAAATCAGTGTCCAGCCACAGCGTGGCTCATGCCTATAATCCCAGCATTTTGGGAGGCCGAGACTGGCAGATAACCCGTGGTTGGGAGTTTGAGACCAGTCTGACTAACATGGAGAAACCCTGTCTCTACTCAAAATACAAAATTAGCCGGGCTTAGTAGAGCATACCTATAATCCCAGCTACATGGGAGGCTGAGGCAGGAGAATCGCTTGAACCCAAGAGGTGGAGGTTGCGGTGAGCAGAGATTGCACCATTGTACTCCAGCCTGGGTAACAAGAGCAAAATTCCATCTCAAGAAAAATAAAACTAGTGTACAGCAACACTAAGAACTAACTCTCCAGGTGTACATTTCATGGGTGCAGGCTTAGAGTAGATGGAAAACTGGATATAATTGAGATTTCATTTTGCCAGGTGAGTATGGCAGAGGGAAAAAGAGGCAAGTTGAAGTACATACAATGCAGTGGTTAAAATAATATAACAGGCCTGGTGTGGTGGCTCATGCCTGTAATCCCAGTACTTTGGGAGGCCAAGGTAGGCAGATCATGAGGTCAGGAGTTCAAGACCAGCCTGGTCAACATGATGAAATCCCCTTTCCACTAAAAATACAAAAATTAGCTGGGAACTGGGATCCCGGAGGCGGAGGTTGCAGTGAGCCGAGATTGTGCCACTGCATTCCAGCCTGGGCTACAGAGCAAGACTCTGTCTAAAATAAATAAATAAATAAATAATATATATATATATATATATGTACACGGAATCAAAATCATGCAATGGAGTAGGGATAATGTGAAGACAGTAGGGCTGAAGGGTTGGAGGTTTCTGTGTGATTACAGAATTATTGGAAATAGGGTAGTATAGGAAGTCACTTAGAAAGAAAGTAAGTGATCATCAGAGAATAGAATGCTTGATAGTGGGGTCGTAGAGAGGGTACAAATATCAATAATGAAAAACCCTAGGGTATGAACATGGGAGTAGACAGTGAATATTTGAGGTGGGATGGAGGTCAAGGTCATTACAGATTAACAGGAGCATTGTCTATGTGTATTTTTTTTTTTTTTTTAAATTGAATCTCATGCTGTCACCCAAGCTGGAGTGCAGTGGCGCAATCTGGGCTCACTGCAACTTCCACCTCCCGGGAGGTGGCAAGCGAGATTGAGAAGATGGGAGAGTCGAGATGGAGATATTCACATGGGAGTTATTGGAATAGAGATCCTATATAAAGCCCTTCTCCTCCTTCAGCCTCCGAGTAGCTAAGATTATAGGCATGTACCACCATGCCCAGCTATTTTATTTTATTTATTTTTTTGAGATGGAGTCTCACTCTGTCACCCAGGCTGGAATGCAATGGCATGGTTTTGGCTCACTGCAACCTCCACCTCCCGGATTAAAGCAATTTTCCTGCCTCAGCCTCCTGAGTAGCTGGGACTACAGACATGCACCAGCACACCCAGCTAATTTTTTTTTTTTTTTTTTTTTTTTTTTTTTTTTTTTTGAGACGGAGTGTCGCTCTTGTTACCCAGGCTGGAGTGCAATGGCACGATCTCGGCTCACCGCAACCTCCGCCTCCTGGGTTCAGGCAATTTTCCTGCCTCAGCCTCCTGAATAGCTGGGATTACAGGCACGTGCCACCATGCCCAGCTGATTTTTTTGTATTTTTAGTAGAGACGGGGTTTCACCATGTTGACCAGGATGGTCTCGATCTCTTGACCTCGTGATCCACCTGCCTTGGCCTCCCAAAGTGCTGGGATTACAGGCTTGAGCCACCACCTCTGGCAATTTTTGTATTTTTAGTAGTGATGGGGTTTCACTATGTTTGCCAGCCTAGTCTTGAACTCCTGACCTCGTGATTCCTCCCCATCAGCCTCCCAAAGGGCTGAGATTATAGGCCTGAGCCACCACACCCGGCCCCAGTTTTTATATTTTTAATAGAGACAGAGTGTCACTATGTTGGCTGCGCTGGTCTTGAACTGCTGACATCAAATGATCCACCTGCCTTGGCCTCTCAAAGTGCTGGGATTACAGATATGAGCCACCGCACCCAGCCTATGTGAATTTTTTAAAAATTAACAATAATTATGACAAGGATATTGCTGAAGAAAATGAAAGTAAGGTTTTTAAGGTATTCAGGAAATGTAAATGTGTGCAACAAAAAGAAATTGGGGTGGTTTAGTATGATTTTCAAAGCAGTTGGAATTTTTAGGGGAAGAGTCTAGAGGTAGCAGTTACAAGCAAAGAAGAAGCCCATCCCAGGGTCTGAGCAAGAAGGAGAGCTGTTGGAAGATAAACAGCCACCACCCAAGAGGACTACAGAGACCACTACAGTGGTCTCCATTTTGCGTACTTTCCTGGTAAACCCAAATGATGCCTTTCTTGGAGCACTCTTTACTGTTGTGGAAAGTGGCAAGCGAGATTGAGAAGACGGGATAGTCGAGATGGAGATATTCACATGGGAATTATTAGAACAGAGATCCTATATAAAGAGATTGAAATGCAGTGAGATAGAGAAGAGCATGGGACTAGGACTGACCCTTTTGATATTCCAAAGATGAGAAGTCTAGAAGATAAGAAAGAGTCAGTAAAAGATGGGTGAAGAAGATGAGGAGAAGCAACCAGAGAGGTAAGAAGACAATTGAGAATGGCGTCTCAAGTCAATGATGGAAGCCGTTTTTCTAAAATGAAGGAGTTATTTTTTTTTTCTTTTTTTGAGACAGGGTCTCATTTTGTTACCCAGGCTGGAGTGCACTGGCACAATCATGGCTCATTGCAACCTTAAATTCCTGAGCTTAAGTGATCCCCCAACCGCAGCCTCTGGAGTAGCTAGGACTATAGGCATACACCACCACACCCTACTTATTTAATTTTTTCTTTCTTTGTAAAGGCTGGGTCTCACTATGTTGCCCAGCTGGTCGCGAACTCCTGGGCTCATGTGATCCTCCAACCCAGCCTCTCAAAGTGCTGGGATTACAGTGCTGGGATTACTATACCAGGCCTCACCTCTCCTCTTATCTTCTCTTTTAATTTTTTAAAATTTATTTATTTATTTTAAAGATGGGATTTCACCATGTTGGTCAGGCTGGTCTTGAACTCCCGACCTCAAGTGATCCTTGGCCTCCAAAGTACTTGGATTACAGGCGTGAGCCACCACACCCGGCCCTCTTCTTCTCTTCTCTTCTCTTCTCTTCTCTTCTCTTCTCTTCTCTTCTCTTCTCTTCTCTTCTCTTCTCTTCTCTTCTCTTCTCTTCTCTTCTTTCTCTTCTCTTCTCTTCTCTTCTCTTCTCTTCTCTTTTCTCTTTTTTCTTCTCTTCTTTTTCTCTTCTCTTCCCTTCTTTCTCTTTCTCTTTTCTTTCTTTCTTTTTTGAACATTTGGAGGTCAAGCCAAAGGAGGATTGAGAATTGATCATTAGATTTAGCCACATGGAGGGCATTGGGAACCTTGCCAGGAGGAAGTTTGCTGATGTAGGTGAAGGAAAGCCTGAATAGACTATGCTCAATAGAGAATGTAAGGAGAAGAATAGGAAATACTGAAACTTTGTAAAGGCTCTTGCTGAAAAGAGATGTGCAGAACTGGAACACTAGCTAAGGGAAAGGAGGCTGAGGTAAAGGAAAGTTTTGCTGTGTTTTGTTTTTGAAGGTAGGTGTATATTTCTATGGAAATCTGTAAGAAAGGGAAACTGATGATGCATGAGAAAGGGTACAGTCTCAGGAAGGTCATTTCATCTACAAAAAACTGTGCGGTGGCTTACGCCTGTAATCCCAGCACTTTGGGAGGCTGAGGCGAGCAGATCACCTGAGATCCGGAGTTCGAGACCAGCCTGACCAACATGTTGAAACTCCGTCTCTACTAAAAACACAAAATTAGCCGGGCGTGGTGGCACATGCCTGTAATCCCAGCTACTCGGGAGGCTGAGGCAGGAGAATCGCTTGAACCCGGGAGGCAGAGATTGCGGTGAGCAGAGATGGCGCCACTGCCCTGGGTCCATATATATATATATATATATATATATATATATATATATATATATATATTCCACCTCAATAGGACAGCTGAGACAATGAAGAAAGACGGTAATCAGATTTGGAAGGTGGTTTGCAAATCCATGGAAGCTCTATACCCCTAGGAAACAGTGAGACAAACAAGGTTGGTCCCTGTGCGGATTTATGACTCCTGCCAGAAGCCCTTGCTCAAAGGTCTGCAAAACCTGGTCCGTCTTTTAAGTTGTTCACAGAGCTACAAAAGAGGTGCTCTCTGCCTTGGTGAGGGATGGGGCCAAGTCCCTACGCTGGACGGTAGCTGGAAGATGCTTTCTCATAGTGAAGAAGGTGGATAGATCCAACCTCTCGAGAGAGGGGGAAACGCCCAAAGCGTGAAGGACACACCGCTTAGGGGACTTCAACCACCAGCTCGCCTCTGACAGGGGGTTGAATTCCCGGCGGCATTTCACACCACGTTCACTCCGCAAATTAATTCCCCCGTATCAATAGGGAGTACTTGGCAGAACAAAGAATGCGTGCGCGTGGAGGCTAGAGGTGGGTGGGTGGGTGCCAGCACAACGCCAAGGGGAGAGTGAGTGCGGAGAGGAAACGTGTGTATGGCATGAATGGAAAGAGCCGAGAGTGAGTGTGGAGGTGGGCAGGGAAGAGCTGGACGCGCCCCAGCAGCCCGGGGCCTCCCGAGGGAACGTCCGCCAGTGATGCGGGAGCGCCCGCGGAGGAGCCTCCTTCTCCCCACCCACCTCCCGAACTCCGGCAGTCAGTGGTGCATATAGACATATTTCTGGGAGCTGTCCATGAGCTCATCGCTCTCCCGGTGAGAGCGGCGGCGGCGAGGGAAGCAGCCGCCTTTCTCCCGGCGCCGCAGCTAGGATCAGCCCGGCCGCTCGCGGTTCGACCCCTCGCGCGGGGCGCGGCGCTGGGAAGAGGCAGCCGCCGCCCCCGCCCTACGGCCAAGGTCGCGTCCGACCCCGGCCCTCCGCGGCCCGGAGCCCGCCGGCCGGGATGTAGGTGGCGCGGGAAGGGACTCCGGGAGGGCGAGCCGAGGGCACAGCCGCCCCTTCCACTCTGCGGCGCAGGAGCCGGGGCGGGTCCGCGGGGCGCGGCGGCTGCGGAGACTCCGGGCTGGGCGCGGGGCGCGGGCCGCAGGCCCGACGCTGAGGAGACTGAGGAGACGCGGGGGACCCGGGCGTGACAGGAGGAAGAAACCCGGAGCCGCAGGAAGATGGCTTCTCCCACCTCCCCGGCCCCGGAAGGCGGGGCCTCCACCCCGCCGAACCCGCCGCGGATTCGTCAGGTGGGTGCACAAAGTGCGGGAGGGGCGCCGGCACCCCATTGTCCTCGCGCCCCCAAGGGCGGGGACCTCGCCCCCAATGCAGAGGCTCTCCAAGGAGCGGGGCCCAAGCGAGCCGACTTGGCTACATCGCCCGGCCCAGGACCATTCTCTAAACCTCTTTTCTCAGTCTTACTTCACACACAGACACACAGACACACACGCAGACAGCCCTAGAAAAAGACGCCTTCCAAAACCAGACGTGTAACTTCTGAACGCACACACTCACACTCACCCGGCAAACTCATCGCTCCCACCCCGCACAGAGGCACACACCCAGCTGTCACATGACCCACTGCAGAGCTATACCCTGAGAAGAAACCAGGGTGCCCCTAGGGGGAATGGTACCCCAGACCCAAACTCCCTGAGGACCTTGAGAAGGATTGATTGCTGGAGGCATTTGCTTCCACCCGCAGGAGAGCAGAAACCTCGTCTAGAGGTTACTCAACATTTCTCAACTTTCGGGTAGAGCTGCACCCAGCAACTGCAGCCCTGTATCCTGCATTAGCCGTGTAGTACAGAAAACATGTGTTCCTGGTCTCTCCACGTCTATAGAGACACAAACAGCTTCCCCCAGCACTGCAAGGAGGAATGCACGTTTCTTTGACTGTTTGAATAAGCCTGTTTTCTGTTTATATGGTAATATTAAAGCAAGGGAGTACTCCATCTGGTTGTGATCTGTGATTTGGTATCTAGATTTTTTTTTTTTTTTTTTTTTCTGCTGCTACCAATGCCAGGAACTATAGCATTAGCACTTTAGGTTATCACAGTAGTAGTGATTGTGCACTTGCTGTGTTCAGGGTAGTACATGAGTGTGAGAATATGATCCATTGACTGCAAATAGGAAACTTCTTTACCGAAGAGAATTGGATTCCTATTTAGAAATAGGGTTAAAATTGGTTGATGAATACTATCTGTGCAGAAAAATAATGCCCAACAGAATGATCTTTCTCCCTGGCAGTGTGGAAATTTTAAAAAATAAAAGAGACTCCAGAATTTATTTAAAAAAATGACAATAAAATCAGTTGATGCCTAACAAAGTCACGTTTGAATTTTAATATGTGTAGGTAGTGTTATATTAGGGACAACCTTTGTTTATGGGTATTTTGTAATGCAGTGACTAAAAAGTAGTGTGTACAATCTTTGTGGCAATCTGCGTTCCAAGGAAATTGTTAGGGTTTTAAATCCTTATAGAATCTAGGACTCTAATTTTATGACAATGCATTTTTAATTGCACTTGGAGGTATTCTTTTTTATTTATTTTATTTTGTGGAAGAATTGTGGTAGCAGATATCATTAAATCTGTGATACGCATTCAAGAACGAAGGTGAAAGTATTGTTATTTGCAATGTAAGAGAAATCATTTTAAGCAAATTATTTTTATATTTGGCTAAATATATACATACATACACTTATAAATAAACACCGAGGAAGTAAAATTTGTTAATTTATATAAATAGAATATATGCACTCAAAAATTTCTATAAAATCTTATTCTATAAAGCACTTTCATTGATCTAGCAAATAGTATGTGTGAAAATAGTTATAGAAAAAATGTGCATGGAAGGTCATTGTTATTTTGCAGACTAGACACTATTTAGAGAAACTCATAATTAAAAGCTGTGTAAAATGACATAGTGTTTCAACGTTCAAGTTATTGACTAATATTCTCTGTTCAGGCTTTCATTTATATGACCTTACAGTAGCACTGTTTTAGTGATTGGTGCATTAATTTGCATAGGATGTAGAAATAGGTTACTGGAATTATTGGTCCTTCTAGTCTACCTGATTCATCCAGTTAGGTGGAACAAAAGTACTGACAACCTCTGGCTGCAGAATCACCATTTGCTTGAAAGTGATTTTGAGCATATTAGAAATAGAAAAACAGAAAAGGTAACTGTGTTCTACTAAGTGGTGAAATGTTTTAGGCCCCATTCACATTGTATTTTAACTGTGTCACTGTTTCTTGGACATGTTTTTCCATGTTCATTAATAATTCTTTTCCAAGTCAATTCTGAATTAAATTGGAATTGCTTTACTCTTTCTGAACCATGTAAAAATTCAGAGAAAGCATAATTTTAAAAAGCACAGAAGTTCTAGGGAGTAAAAGATTTTAATGTGGATTTTAGCAACAAATCTACTGGTCCTACTATTAATTACATAATGGAAATTTAGAAATTAAAATATTTTAGAAAAGCTTTTGGTGAATTTAAACATAACTGGTAAATTACTAAATTTAACTACTAATTTCAATGAAAATAACCTGTGTGGGGATTCATTTATTCAATGAACATTTATTCAGCATAAAATAATGTTTCGTGCTCTAAAGATAAAGAAAAGGACAAAAAACCCTACCCATTACAGGTGTAGGTATTTGAAGCATCAAACTATTTAAAATTTGAATTACTTATACGGTCTTTTCCATGTTATTTAGACAAAATAGTTATTTATCAGCTTTTTGTTTTGATCATTCCTCTAATAATAAGCCTAAATAATATCTAGTTTGTATGTACCTAAAACGTCACTGTGTGATGGATGTTTGCATTTATTTGCTATATTTCTGTTCTCATTTAATGATTTCATATGTTGTTAGAATTACATATCATAAACTATATGTGTTATTTTTTACAATTTGATATTTTGAACAAAGTTTTTTTTTTTTTTTTGAGGCGGAGTTTCGCTCTTGTTACCCAGGCTGGAGTGCAATGGCGCGATCTCGGCTCACCGCAACCTCCGCCTCCTGGGTTCAGGCAATTCTCCTGCCTCAGCCTCCTGAGTAGCTGGGATTACAGGCACGCACCACCATGCCCAGCTAACTTTTTGTATTTTTAGTAGAGACGGGGTTTCACCTTGCTGACCAGGATGGTCTTGATCTCCTGACCTCGTGATCCACCCGCCTCGGCCTCCCAAAGTGCTGGGATTACAGGCTTGAGCCACCGCGCCCGGCCTCGAACAAAGTTTTTTTTAAAGCTTTTGGAAAATGCTGATGTAGCATGAAATATCTAATGTGGGCCAGTACCTTCACACAGTGTTTTCAAAAGTTAGAAGGACAAGGACAAATGACCTTTAAATTCATTCTGTTAAAGGAGAGAAAACTTTATCAGTGTGCCATCTTTTCAGGCTTCTCAGGCTTTAGGTATTTCCTTTTTTTCTTCTTCTTGTAAGAAAAGGGGTATCTTTATTTTATATCCAGGATAAAAAGTTACAGAAGTTTCACCTACTTTTTCCAACTTGTAAGTCAAATTAGTTATGAAAATAGAGATTTTGGCTGGGTGCGGTGGCTCACGCCAGGAATCCAACACTTTGGGAGGCCGAGGTGGGTGGATCACGAGGTCAAGCAATTGAGACCATCCTGGTCAACATGGTGAAACCCCGTCTCTACTAAAAATACAAAAAATTTTCTGGGCATGGTGGCACATGCCTGTAATCCCAGCTACTCAGGAGGCTGAGGCAGGAGAATTGCCTGAACCCAGGAGGCGGAGGTTGCAGTGAGCCGAGATCGCGCCATTGCACTCCAGCCTGGGTAACAAGAGCGAAACTCCGTCTTAAAAAAAAAAATAGAGATTTTGTGACCATCAGCCCATGTTTATTCTTCATTCATTTTCTAACTTTGTAAAAGAAAAATTAAGAAATGGTAGTTTTGCAACTGAAGTTTTAAATAGTTTGTCTGTATATGTCATATACATCAAAGGACCCATATGACTCCTATGGCCATTTCCAGAGAATTTAAATCAAAGCTAAATGAGTACTTACTGAGATTTTGAAGTATAAGATATATTGTAGGCCGGGCATGGTGGCTCATGCCTATAATCCCAGCACTTGGGAGGCTGAGGTGGGCGGATCACCTGAGATCAAGAGTTCTAGACCAGCCTGGCCAACATGGTGAAACCCCACCTCTACCAAAAATACAAAAAGTAGCTGGGCACGATGGCGAGTTCCTGTAATCCCAGATACTCAGGAGGCTGAGGCAGGAGACTGGCTTGAACCCAGGAGGCAGAGGTTGCAGTGAGCCGAGATCACCATATCATGGGACTGATTCCTGTGAGACTTGGAAGAGCTGTAAGCCAGTCTGTCATTGGTGCCAGAAAACTTTGCTGTCATTCTCTTGTTTCTTCATCAGTCCTTCCCTGTGGTCTTTGGGTAACGGTGTCATTTCATTTATGGCAGCAAATTAGTTTTCCTTCTTTGTTTGCTGTGGAAATGTTGAGACATCCCCTGTGGTAATATTGAAATATTTACAATGAGCCAGGCATGTTGCTGAGTGAGGCATAGTTTTCACAACAATCCTATGAAGGAGATGTTATTTCCATTTTCTAAACGAGAAACCATGCGTTTAGAAAAACTAAGCTACATACCCAAGTTCGTAGTTAATTTGGAACTCAGCAATTTAAAATATGGTCTTAATGATGCCTTACTTTGCAATCACTGTTATTTACTGTCTTCCTCTTCTAATTTTCAGGCATTGTGACTATTAAAGGAGCTCCTCTGTTACTCCTAGTTATCTATAATTATTCTCATGGAGCTCTGCTTTGAATTACTTATATTTAACTATAGTATTTACAGTAGAGTTGAAGTAATTTTCATTACTCAAATCCATCAGGAGAATAGCTTGAGCTGGGCGTGGTGGCTCACGCCTGTAACCCCAGCACTTTGGGAGGCCGAGGTGGGTGGATC